TGTGTGTGCTGTGTATATTTATTATGTATATATAAATACACACACATACAGTATGTATTTTGAAAATATTTCCATGTATATATTTATATTCATATAATATATATTATATATAAATATATTTAATATATAAACATAACATATTTTTCTTAAATATATACATGCATGTGTTTGTATTTATATATACATAATAAATAAACACAGTACACACTCATATATTATGTAAACAAAATCTTTTATTTTGGATGCGATTAATCGCGATTAATCGTTTGACAGCACTAATATTTATTTTACATTTATTTTACATACACACACACACTACTTTATAGTGTATATATACTGTATACAATGTGTGTGTTTGTATATACATATTATTAATGACTCAAGTTCAGTTATTTGCAAATGTGAACTAATTACACATTTGTACTAATTATTAAAGATAAAAATATTAAATCTAAAAAACAAATGACCATGTTGGTGGTGATGTCATTTCCTGTTTTATGGTTTTCTGGTGATAAAAATTGTATTACACAGCACTGACTTTTATTTGGACAAAATTCATTTTTATTTCAAAACAAAACTGTAACATTAATTATTAAGTTTAAGTTAGTTATTAAGATTAGTTCAAACTATTTTTAAAAAATCCAAGTCCAAGATTGTTTTACACCATCTAGACATTTTTGAGACTTTAAGCCTAAAAATACCAATAAAATTAATCGTAATTCACAAATTAAAATGTGTTGTCAAGTATGTATGTATTGTATGTATGAATTGCATTTTTTTTTATTATAATTTAATAGATCCAGACAGTAGATTAGTGTCACATGATTGACCAATATGCAAGAATAAACTTAAGACTGTTGTGATTATGATTTTTTCTGACCGTCTACAGGGTGAAAGAGGAGAATGTGGCACTCCAGGAATCAAAGGAGACCGAGTGCGTAACCCTTCAGAAGTTACAGTTTCTGCACACTCCTCCAATATGTTGTGAACACAATAATACAGTATACATTTCAAATGCTACATTTGTTTATATTGTACCATCTGATAGGGTCCTGAAGGTCCAGTTGGTACTCAAGGGTCCAGAGGTCTGCAGGTGGGTCTGATACATTTATTTCATATTTATTTTAAAATATAACATCTGTCTTTTTATTTAAACATATGCGTATGTAAAATGTTTAATCACATTGTTTACTGTTTACAGTTGTTTTCTTTTAAAGCCATACTGTTGTTTAAAGCCTTTAACCTTTAAAAGTGTTGCAACAAAAATTATTTTCAAAGTTGTAAATTATTTGTGAAATGTAGTAGCAATTTCTGAGTGTAAATTGTTTAAAAGTAAATCCTCCACCAGATTCTTTTTTAGTGTGTAGTTGATTGACAGGTGAATAGGTGGTCATTCGTTTTTGAATATGCAAACGTGTTTGAGTGAGCCGTTTACACCTGTATTTAGCATTGACCGCTTGCATTTAGATCACCTGAGACAGTTGTTTGTATTTCAAACTAAAAACTTTCCATTCGTTTATTTCAAACTAAATCCGAGAGCTTATTTTGAAAAATGCGTGTTTCCAACACAAGATTAAGAAATATAAAAGGTAATAACGGTGACATTTTATATCACAATGAGAACTTTTTTCTAGTCATTCTGAGTTTATATCTCACTTTTGTCTTGCAATTCTGAGAAAAAAAAAACATAATTTTCAGATGTAAACTCAGAATTGTGATATATAAACTAAGAAATGTGTGACAAATTAATTTGGAGTTTATATCTCACAATTCTGACTTTTTTCCTCGGAATTTGTGAGAGAAAAAAAAAGTTAGAATTGTGAGATAAAAGGTTTCCTAATTTTTTATCCCGTGGTGGAAACTGGCTTCAATATATTTCAGGAGGTAAATGTTAAAACACACATGTTGAATTTCCCCCAACATATGATTACATGTACATTTTACTGTATTGTAAAGCAGCATAATGCTTTGGTGTCTACAGATAATGTCCTAGAGACTCAAATGTTCATGCTAGACACTGTAACACACCCTTTCATGTTTCGCCTGCAGGGTTTACCAGGACCACAGGGTGACATCGGACCAGAAGGCCTACAGGGAAAGAAGGTCTGTGGCTTATAATCACAAACCATTATCCTGAAAATTTCAGCTCATTATATTTAACACGCACACCTGGAAAAGTTTCACTGTCTCCCATGACTCCAGAAGCCGTTGCTTATTCGGCATGCTATTGTGCATGAGAAACCCCACGCACTGGAAGCTTGTTTGTTTGCTATATCCATTAGATAAAATCCATTCGAATGTTCTGGCCAAAATGAATGAGAAATATTGATGCATTCACATTTCTTTTTGGGTTAGGTTAGGGTTAGGGAATTATAGGGTTAGGGAAAAAGGAATTATCATTTATGTCCATTTCTGACTAAATGATGCACTCTGAAGGTAGCAGGAGGTGCAGAATAGAGTTTTAGAATTTCACTCCATTATGTTTCTAGGCCTTGACAAGGACAGTATGATATATGTAAATATTTTATGCATCCATTTACAATGCATTTGAGATTTTATTACACTCTTAAAAATAAAGGTGCTTCAAAAGGTTCTTCAAGCTATGCCATAAAAAAAACATTTTTGGTTCCACAAAGAAGCATTCAGTTAAAGGTTCTTTAAAGAACCATCTCTCTCTTACCTTTTTATAATCTGAAGAACCTCCTTTCGCCACAAAGAAACTTTTGTGATACAGAACGGTTCTTCACAGCGCAAAGTTGTTGTATTTCCTCAGCGACCAGCACGGATCAGCTCCAGGCATGTAGCGGATATCGTCCTCTTTTGGAAGGCCAAACAAAGTCGTTTCGCTTTCACAACGAAACACACAGCGCCTTCATGACATGGCGGCGGCGGCAACAATACTACAGCGAGAATAAAAGTTACGCCTTCTTTCTTTGCGTGAACATTTGGGCGGCGTTATGCAAATCTTCCCAGATCGTGACGTAGGTATGTGGGGGCGTGTTAGAACGAGCCGTTTTAGGTAGGTGTGGCTGACTCTTAACTTTTATAAAGAATATCTCTTTGGATTTGAGACTTTAGTCTTTGCAGCTTTACAGACCTTCTTTATGCACCAAGAGCTTGTAACACTCCAAAGAGAAAGGAAAAATTGAAATCGCATCATATGACCCCTTTAAAGGTTCTTTATGGAACCATTTAGACAAAAAGGTTCTTCTATGGCATCGTGAAGCACCTTTATTTTTAAGAGTGTACTTGTTTTAGTTATAATTTTAAAGGAATAGTCCATCCAACAATTAATTTCTTTCATTATTTACTCCTCATGTTGCTCTAAACCCGTATGCTATTATTATTATTTTTCTGTGGAATACAAAGGAAGTAACAACAAATATTTAAAAGTTAATAACACTTTTAATTTGTTTACATACAGAAAGCTATAGACCTTAATCATATTGATTTTTACATGGATAAAAACAAAGCTGTGAGGGACAGACTTACAGTCTTTACAATGGCATGCACTGTATCAAGGTCCTCCTAGATCACATCATTTTCACAGCTCATAACTTTCAAAACTGTTTTTTGGAGTTTTTATATACTGAGAGATTTTTCAGAAAGAAGTTTCGTCAGCTGAATACACGTTAGTATGCTCTTAAACAACAGTACAATACACGAAACACACAGTACTTGTATCCCTAACAGCCTCGTTTTCATTCCTGTCAAAATGACCCTGACAATGGTCTATTGCATGGCTTTAGAAATTGACTGTTGGCATGAGTCATATGGACTATTTTTATGGCTCTTTAATGGTGCTTTTGTTTTTTGTTTTTTACATTGACTTTGACTATGAACTATTATTATATTGAAAATAGATGCAATTCTTTGATTCTTTGAGTCATTGATTCCAATTGAAAAAAAAACTAAAAAAACATGAGGATGAGTAAATAAGTTATTTGAATTGTTAGGTGAACTAATCCTGTATGTTAGACCAAATCCTCTGTGTCTTCTTTCAAAAGAGACCATGGTTATGTCTGCAGTGTAAAGGGTTCACAAACTGCGTCCAGTTTAGTATAAGCATGCCTTGCACTTGCATGAATGAACGTGTTTTGACATGTTTTGGATTTCCTTTAATAGAGGTCTGCTGCTCTGCCAGTAGTTTCCCCTTGTTTAATTTAACTGCAGGAAGCATTCAGAGGTTTAGACAGCTCTGCAGATGTCCTCACTAATTAGGGATCCTTCTTCATACATGCACAGGTTCACAAAACTAGTGTCACAGACCGCCATGAAACAAATGGTTTTGTACTTCATCATCTAAAAATAGATGATACCGTGATAATAAACAGGCATTATTATTTTAAATAATAATCCTTACTCCCTGAGGTTAAGAGTCAACCAGTGAGATGCTAGAAAGTGCTTGTCAGGTCACCAAATGGACTATGGGTGGTCTGAGATTATTGTCTTGGAAGCTAATAACAGTAGAAATGTGCATGATGGAAAAATGCTGTGCAAAGTAGAAATTCATGCACAGACATGCAGGTGACGTGAACGAAGAGAATTTCCAGCCTGTGGAAAGGCAGCACAGTAAGGGGATATTGTAAATGTCATGAGCAGATTTGTGACTGCTTGCACTGACCTACTTGATTAAATTGGATTGTACTTTGCATTTTCTGACAACAGTTCCTCTCTATATTGTTCAACTCCTGGTTGAAAATGAAAGGCATAGTTCACCCAAAAATGAAAATTAGTTGAAAATGTACTCACCCTCAGGCTATCCAAGATGTAGAGGAGTTTGTTTTTTTCATGGGAACCGTAATGTAGCATTACATTACTTGCTCACCAATGGATCCTCTGCAGTGAATGGGTGCCGTCAGAATGAGAGTCCAAACAGCTGATAAAACATCACAATAATCCACACCACTCTAGTCCATCAATTTACATCTTATGAAGTGCAAGGCTGCTTGTTTGTAAAAAAGCAAATCCATCATTTACACGATTTTACTATAAATTGTTACTTCTGGCCAAAATACAAGGCCATAATCCATAATAACACTTATACAGATGGTGCAATGCTACTTAAGCACCCTAAATATGGACAGGCATCGTAAATAATTTAACGGTTCTGGTTCCGACTTTAATTCCCCGATTACAAAGACTACTTTTAGTAGTTCTGAGGTGATATATATATATATTTATATAATGATTTATATATCATTTACTCACTCTCGTTGTTGTTCCTGTATGAATTTCTTCCTTCTCTTTTGCACAATATTTGGAAGAATGATGGTAAACAGTGGCAGGTAGCCATTGACTTCCATAGTATGGAAGAAAAAAAAAATACCATGGAAGTCAGTGTCTACCAGCAACAAATGAACATTCTTCAAGTGAAAGAAATGGGTTTGGTACAACATGAGCGTGAATAAATTATGACAAAATTTTGGGATGAACTATCCTTTTAAATAAATACATACATGAGACCTGATTTCTCTCATGAATGTGATGTTTAATGAATTAGATGTATGTAATCTGTTGTTTTTGTTTCTAATTAATCACAGGGTGAGCGCGGCTCTGCTGGCCCACCTGGAATTCAGGGCGACAGTGGAATTGGACTTCCTGGACCAAAGGTCAGCTGTATTTACCTTTTTGACTGCAAATTCACTTAAATTCTCCAAAATCGCCGCAAACAAAAAGACTTAAAAGCTGGGGAAAATGCCTAAGCTGATTTACTGGGTTTAGTGTGTTTAGTTGAGTTTTGGTCATTTTTCAGCTAGGAGACCAACTAAACCATCATAACACCAGCTTGGCTGAGATTTAAGACCAATTTAGACCAGCAAATCACCTTAGGCTGTTTTAAGATGTTTTTTGTTTCCTTTGTCAGTGAGCCACCTTAACCATGAACCCTATAAAGCCTACTGTATCATATTTGTTACACAATTTTTTTAAGGCCTCTATATGATCAACATTAACAAAACTTTGCTTAAAAACCATTGCACACAATCTACAACATGCCCTCTGTTGTCCGATTGAGGTTTATACTTTTTTAGCAAGTAAAAGTCCTTTTAGTATAATTGTACAAGTGTATTGTAAAGTGTATTTTTGCTGTGAAAACTTTACTGATTTTTATACAGTAAGCTTAAGAATAGCTTTTATATTGTTAGTAATATTTACTGGACTGAAGCAACGTAGGTTTACTTAACTATCCATATATCATTCATTAGAAAAATCATGTAAAAAAAGTATCAAAAAGTAGCTTTTGAGGAACGTCTAGTTGTCTAGTCTCTCCATCATCATTGTATTGCATTGCATTACATGTTTTGAAACTACAAAGCTTTGATCATAAAACTAAGCATTTAAATATCATCTTACAAAGACATATTATTGGGAGATAAAGAGTGAAAACTGATATTTACAGTATATGCATTTTATGCAAGTAGTCTGTTATACTGTTATAAAGACCTCATTTACATTTCAAGCCATAAGAATTTCATTTTACTTTTTGGCCTTATAAATATCAGCATCTTCACCAAATTGCATATTTTTGCTCAGTTTGAATAAAAGGTGATTTTCATTGTGCACATTTTTTAGATGACATGGATGGTAATGGTAGTGGATTCTCAGATATGCTGTAATTTTCTATGGAGTATTTCTTACTTATTCTCCTGAATTGTTCACGTCTTTGATCCGTCTGCAGGGAGATATGGGATTTCAGGGGAGACCAGGTCCTCCGGGTCCGCATGGCATAGGCGAGCCAGGTCTGCCTGTAAGTACAATATTCAAAAATATTCAACACACACTGAATTTACACCCATAGATTTGACTATATGACATTTTTTCTCACATTTCTTCAACAAATCAGGGGCCTCAAGGGCCACAGGGGGTTCTAGGAGAGAAAGGACCACCAGGAGAGGGCTTTCCAGGTCAGAAGGTAAGGTTAGCCCAAAAACGCCATGTTCTCACAAATGTCTCTATGCTCTTTAATCTACTTGGAGATTTGTAGCAGCCAAAGGCAATCTGAGAAGATCTACAAATGCATTAAAGACTCGTAATTTTTTATAATACCTCATTAGAGGCTTAAAGTTCCCTGGTAAATCCTCATTTCAACACCCAAGGCTATTAATTATTGTATGTTCCGGATAAATTAGCTGAGCATTACCAGCCTGAGGATGCAAGACTTCTATAAAGACTCTTTGTAATCTGTCTAATGTTAGCAGTCTAACTAGGTCTACATCAAAGCCAGAACTGTGCATAAAATGTAATCGTAAATTAAAAATACAGCAAAGAAATGTGATTCATGTCAAGGAGAACCTCAGTTCTCTGAAAACCTTCACACAGTAGCTAAACTAAATTATATCTCAATATTTTTCAGATTTATGATGATATTCAGTATTCATGAAGATGCAAATCAAGTTTTGAATCAATTTGAAGTGAATGAACTGAGGGGCGTTTTTAGGATGTTTAATCAATAGTTTTGACCCATTTTTCCAGAGAAATAAATGTATTGCTTTGGATTCATAAGTGCTCTAGATATATCAAATGTTTTGTGAATATTATCATAACTCTTTATAATATTCCTTTATCTTTAAGGGAATTATTGTGAAAATGATAAGCCATCTTGCATTTGTCATTAGTTTGCATATACTTACATGTTGCCTTTTCTTATCAATTTTCTTTCATCAGTTTATTTCATGCTAATATTTACTAATTAAATGCATTTGACGATAAGAAATAAGTGTTATTGTTAGCTGCAACTAAAACCACTAAAAATAGTTTTCAGTAATTGAAATAAATCTGAAATAAAATGAAAACAATTCAGTTTAAAAAACTTAAACTAAAAAAAAAAAAAAAAATACAACTAAATAAACATAAAAATGAATGTTTATTTTTAAAAAATATTTCTCTACATGGAAATATGAAAAAAAACTAATACAAATTATAAAAACAAATTACTCAAACTTAAATTAAGTTTAGAATGAAAACCGCAAATATAAAAATAAAAGCTCATTTAAAATAAATAAATCGTATAAAAAAAATACGAAAATTACTAAAACTAAATAAAAATGTAAAAATAAAACTAAATAGAATACATTTAGAGACAATAATACATTTTAAAATATAAAAAAATAACACTGGAATTCATTGCAGGTGAAGGTTTTATTTTAATTACTGTTAATTAAGTGGTGTTTGAAATTAATTGGTGCAACACAACTCAAATTAGAATAAAACCGAGATCAAAAAATCTTGGATTAGCTCTAATTTAATCCTTATCAGTGCAACCGACCATCAGACAAATTGAGCCACTGTGAATAAACAACAACTAGGGCTCACTGAGGGATTACACTGTATTATTACCAGTCAGAACAACAGGTGTTTTCTAAATCCCACAGATGAAGAAACAATACATGCAATGCAGTAAATGCATCCGAATGGCAGAGAAAGGGAGGCTAGCATTTCAGAGACACTGGGCTGATGACGCCTCTTTTGTTTGACAGGGGGACCGAGGTCTGGAGGGGCCGAAGGGACCAAGAGGACAGCCGGGCACTGGAATCAAAGGCGATAAGGTGGGCTGTAAATATATCAGCCCATGAATGGGATTCACACAACCACACCATCTACGACACACAAAAGGCTTAATGAAGTATGTAAACTGGCCCTATAAGTTCCCATTTAAACGCAGGGGACTTATGGGAGGGTAATAAAGAGTAAGAAAGAGCAGATGGGAGGGCGGCACAGCTCTGTGGGAAAAGATGAGTCCTGCTCACCTGCTAATACTGAATAAAACACCAGTCATTTCTTATTCTCAAAATAGACAGATTATTATGTCCCTAAGTTAAATCTTTTAGAGATGTATTACTCTATCTGAAACGGACTCATCTTTTTTGTGTCTTCAGGGTGAGCTTGGGCCTCCAGGTTTACCAGGACCGATCGGACTCCCAGGGATTGGCATTCAGGGAGAAAAGGTGATACTTATGTGACTTATATGTGTTCTTAACTTGTTTACAGGGTCCAATGAATTAAGAAAATGTACATTAATGGACATGCATTATTTCATAAAATGCACCTTGCCATAACAAAAAGACAGATGAATAGTCACATGATCCTTCAGAAATCATTCTAAAATGCTAATTTAAGAAACATTTCTTATTATTATCAAAGTTACAAACTGTGATACACTACCATTCAAATGTTTGGTTTAAGTAATATTAAAAAATATTAATAATAAAAAACTTAAATTGCATTAAATTGATTGAAAGTGACAGTAAAGACATTTATAATATTACAAAAGACTTCTAATTCAAATAAATGCTGTACTTTTGAACTTTATCAAATAATCCTTTAAAAAAAGTATTACGGTCTCCACAAAAAAAGGAACCGGCAAAACATTGTTGTTGACACTGATAATAATAAGAACCTTTATTAATCTTTGAGCATCAATAATATTAATCGATAATAACTAAGCAGCAAATCAGCATATTCAGTGATTTCTGAAGGATCATGTGACACTGAAGACTGGAGTAATGATGCTGAAAATTAAGCTTTGCGTCACAGGAAAAAAATTACTTTTAAAAATATATTCAAATAGAAAACATTTAATTGAAATTGTAATAATATTGCAAAATATTTACTGTGTTTTTGATCAAATAATTTAGCCTTTGTGACCATAAGAGATTTCTTAAAAAACACTAAAAAACTAACAAAAAAAATATTTGATTTGTATATGAGAAAGACTTTCCTATGTTTTTTAAATGCAATAAACATAATAATTTAAATGCAATGCTATGTTTATTATTTCTATCATTATTATTAGTGATCTTATATGTTGGGTTTTCTAATGCAATATTTCTCAATATCAGGGTGTTGAGGGTCCGAGAGGGCCTCCAGGAGGAAGAGGACCATCAGGAGAGGGTTTCCCCGGGCCCAAGGTTGGTACTGCTAAAGGCTAAAGATTATAATTAATGGCAAGCTGTAAAAGGAAACATAAAATTTGTTCTTGGCTTAATCTTTTGATTATTTTCCATTTTGTTCTCTAGGGAGAACATGGTTTACCAGGAGAGATGGGAACCCCGGGAGAGAGAGGGCAGGGCGAACCTGGAACAAAGGTTTGTGGTGTAGGCTCAAAAATGTATGGGACATTTGGGATGGAAGCTAGTTTTTTGACCATGATGAAGACTTTACAAGATGGCACTAAGTACTGATATTATTTCTTCAGGGTGAACCTGGTGCATATGGACTGGCTGGTGTACCTGGACTTCCTGGGGAGGATGGAGCTCCAGGACAAAAGGTAACTCCGCTTTCTGATGTCTGGACTGGTGTGAGCTCATCTAACGTGACTGAGATTGAGTGTTCTGCTCATTAGATAAGTCTCTAGGCAAATAGGCAAGTTAAGTGGATATTAACAGAGGTGGAAAGAATATGAAAATATTCTACTCAAGTAAAAAATTTTACTTAAGTACAAGTAAAAGTACCAGTCTAAAAATCTACTCAAGTAAAAGTAAAAAGTAGCTCATTTAAAATTTACTTAGTTACATTTTAACAGTGGGAGGGAGGCAAAAATGGGACAGGCCAAGGGTGTCAAACTCAGTTCCTGGAGGGCCACAGCCCTGCACAGTTTAGATATAACCATTAAACACATCTGATCCAGCTAATCTAATCATTTAGGCTTATTTGAAAACTACATGGTATGTGTGTTGGAGCAGGGTTGGAACTAAACTGTGCAGGGCTGCGGCCCTCCAGGAACTGAGTCTGACACCCCTGGGATAGGCCTATGAATCTCAAACTAGTTGTTTTTAATTAAAGTAATCAGTTATTTAGAATAATAAGACATTTGGGCTGTTACAAGGGAAATTAAATCAGTATCAACAAAATTCATCTTTGCAATGCAGACAAGTTAAGTGGATATTAACAGAGGTGGAAAGAATATGAAAATATTCTAAGTAAGTAAAAAATTTTACTTAAGTACAAGTAAAAGTACCAGTCTAAAAATCTACTCAAGTAAAAGTAAAAAGTAGCTCATTTAAAATTTACTTAGTTACATTTTAACAGTGGGAGGGAGGCAAAAATGGGACAGGCCAAGGGTGTCAAACTCAGTTCCTGGAGGGCCACAGCCCTGCACAGTTTAGATATAACCATTAAACACATCTGATCCAGCTAATCTAATCATTTAGGCTTATTTGAAAGCTACATGGTATGTGTGTTGGAGCAGGGTTGGAACTCAACTCTGCAGGGCTGCGGCCCTCCAGGAACTGAGT